GAATTACTGCATTAAACGATCCTCTTTGCTTGTCAGCAATCACAACACCAAAACAAATTAAAGTTTATTTCGTGCATCCAAACTATTTGCTTTCCACATCTATACTCATATATACTCATTTTGTTTCCCGTTTTTCCTTATTTTACCGCTATTCATCGTAAATGGCTGCGTGTGTACGGATCTCAAAGTATATAGCAGAGTTGTGAAAAATGCATTAAATTTTTTAATGCATAGCATTTTATTGTAAATGAAAACAAGTAAGAAAGTCTAAGTTCGGGCGGAGCCGAACATTAAATACCCGGCGCAAATATTAATTATATGTTTTTTCACCTTTCCGAAACCTACCGCTAGATGGTAAGCCGGGGTGTATCAATTTTGAGTAAATTAGCGTCCTTCAATTTCGAAATATTGAAGTTTCAAGCATTTCTGAAATTTACCGCTATATGAAAAGCGGCCGTAATTTTAGTCCGATTTCAATAATTTTCAATGCTTTGCTTTCATGTGGCAAGCACAATAACCACACCGAGTTTGGTACAAATTGGTAGAACGGTTACCGATATACATATATGTGATCATAAGTGGGCGGTGCCCCGCCCATTTTCCCAAATTTTACCATAAAGGTATTTCTTGGCAAATAATTGTTGCAGGCATCAATTTTGAATAAATTAGCTTCAATATTTACTGATTTATCGAAGATTTTGTATTTCTCTAAATTACCGTTATATGGAATGTGGGCGTGGTTATCGTCCAATTTAAATTTCGGCGATTTTGTATGCTGTACCAAGGCCAACAACTGTGCCAAGTTTGGAAGAAATTGGTGCAGCGGTTCCTAAGATATACACATGTAACCATAAGTGGGCGTGGCTACGCCCATTTTCCAAAAAATGTATAATATTCTTATTTTTCGTCTAAAAATTATTGTAAATATCAATTTTGAGTGAATTATCTTCAGTAGTTACTAAAATATCGCAGTTTTCGTATTTCTGGAAATTACCGTTATATGAGAAGTGGGCGTGGTTACAGTCCGATTTTGCCCATTTTCAATACCAACCTACCCTGGATTAAGGGAAATCTACATACCTAATTTCGTTGAGATATCTCAATTTTTGCTCGAGTTATCGTGTACACGGACGGACGGACAGACGGACAGACGGCCTAGATCAGAGTAGGTCCTCAGTCGTGTACATGCGCTGCTAAACTGGCTATCTGTCCGTTTTTGGCTCATAATTAATACATATATCGGTATGCATCAACAATCAAAATAAAAACCTACAAAAGCACTCTGCGTTGCATGCACATTGGCTTTCATGTTCATAAAACATCTAACAATGTTTAGAAGAATTTTTCTACAAATACACATAATATAATGAAGCTGAAAAGACTATTAGTAATTATTCCAAGTCCTTCCAAAAGAGGTTATTTATATTTTACTAGAAAAAAAAATTAAGGGTTTTTAATAATGCAAACGAGCAAAAGTATTAAACATTTTAGGGCATTAAAATTTTTTCATTAGCATTAGTTAGATAATTTAATAAAAAAAAATTTCATTAGCATTACATTTTCAGAATTAATGCATTGAAATATTCATTTGCATTGAATTTCCTAAATTATTGCATTAATTTTTTACATTAACATTATTGCTTTAAATACCATTAATGCATTAAAAAATTAATGCATTTTTCCCAACCCTGGTATGTAGAGCAGCGCATAAAATTACTATACGAAAACAAATTCCTCAAACTTGTTAATCGTTTGTCTCCACAATCTTCAGTTAATAATGAGGTAAGATAAACATAGAAATGTATTTTAAAAATTTCATGCAAGAAAGTTTTTCAGCATGAGTTTATGTAAGTTTCTACAGACAGTTTTTGGTTCGAATTTGACCAATCCGTAAGGTACAACATTTTAAACACCGCTAAAAACGTTGCTGGTAAGATTCCAGTTAATATGCGACATTAGTCGTGTGGATAGTCCCAATCCACTAGCTGTCTGGGCTACTCCCATATTTATCCATGCTTATAAAGTGGCACTTATATTTCTACAAATACCCGCCAATTCTACTCCATCGGAAAGGCCACATTTTTCAAAAAGTTATCCGTAATTACCAAATATCGATTCAAAAAATTTTTAGAATTATTTTTTTGTGAAAATTTAAAAATTTTTAAATTATTTTTCAAAAATATAATTTTTAAAAACCCTCACAACCAACATTTTCATGCTGAATAACTGGAACAATTTTCAAAATTTTTAAAAATCCTTTAGTGTCTGTTTTTTTTTTACCTAGCATTGAATTTCACTAAATTACAGATTATTCTAAAGACCACTAGTAAATCATGATATTTTTGGCATATTCTGACTCTTATATTTATAGCTAATATATGAGTTAAATGCGGAGTATACTTAAAACATTTTATTTTTATTAAAAAAGTCGAACAAAGTCGACTTTTCTTCGTGGACCGGTCGACTTTTAAAGTCGACTGTACAGAGTCGATCGAAAAGTCGAAAGTCGACTTTCTAGTGAAGTCGAACAACCGTAAACGCGTTACCACATACTAATTTGGTTTAAATCCGATTATTTCATCATGAACAAATTAACGATAATCTTAAATTTTTATAGGAGAATCGAAGTCGGTTTTGTTTTTTGCTTCAAAATTGCTTGTATAAAATCCTCTTGGCTATTCTGAAACCCAGTTGACGTTTTCCAAAATTCAATTGACTATACCAAAATCAAATTGATGTTTTCGGCTATCCAGTTGACTATTCCAAAATCCACTTTACGCATTCCAAAACTGAATTGACTATTCTAAAGTCCAATTACCTCTTTGTAATATCCAACTGGAAATTGTGTAGTGTACATATCGCACTTGCTCCTCAAAAGGGATTCAATTAAAAATTGTAATTTTTGAAATTATGCGCTAAAAGTGTTCACAGGCATGTTGTTTACGTTTCGACAAAGGTGGAGAAAAAAATTTGTTGCGAGTAGTTTGTTGAAAAATTCTAACGGCCGGTTGCTCAAAGCCTGGTTAACACTAATTTGAAGTGGCTGTGCGATATATTTAGTTATTATCAGGGAACGGATTTCATGGAAATTGCCTTTTTTTCTGCTAAAGAGATAGAGAATATTCGATTAAGAATGTCCACGATTTAGCTTTCCCCGAATCCATATATACACATTTGATGTTGCCTTTTTTTTGCCTCTTTTAAGATATTTGCCTTGTTTTGCTTTTTTTAAGATATTTGCTTTTTTTGCCTTTTCTACCTTTAAAAAAGTCTATTATAGCATTTACATTTTTTTTAAGATTAAAAAATATACACATGCCCATGCGGCTTATAGAAGCGCAGGGACCTCTTGCCAAATTGGTGTTGGAAAAATTCAAAGCCGTTTTCTCAGCTAACGTAGGCTTGGAGACAATAAGGGGTGTGGATAAAATTGTAAAGGGCGAGGAAAACGCCCATATTCCTGATAATATGAACGTTTCAAACGTTCCACTTGTATCAACTTCCGTCGAGCGCACATTTAGTACATTCAAGGCTTTTCTTCGCGAAAATAGAATGAAAATGCTGTCAGAAAACTTCGAAATGCATCTTGTGGTTCAATGTTACTACAGATTAAAGTTTTATGAGTTAGAACCTCGAAAGGATAAAATAGTCAAAGATTCAAAGTACAAATTTTTCATATAATGAAACTAGTTAGTAGTTTTTCTCTTTTTACTTGTAATATAAAAATTTCTAAAATAAATGTATTTTTTGATTGTTCTTCGTATTTTCTGTCTTTTTTTAGTGCCTTATTTTGCTTTTTTTGCAATACCTAGTGCCTTTTCCTGCCTTTTTCGCCATTTTGTTTTGCCTTTTTTGCAATACCTAGTGCCTTTTCCTGCCTTTTTCGCTATTTTATTTTGCCTTTTCCAGCCTATTTCCTTATTTTATTTTGCCTTTTTTATAGGGTTTTAGGCATAGTTGCCAACTTGGTGCTTTAAGCACTAGATTTAGTGCTTTTTGAAAATTAAAACGCCAAAAAAAATTACTTAGTGCCTAGTGCCTTTTTTAGTGCTTTTTTTGAACTAATATTACTCCGAGAGAGTTAAAACCTGAAATAATTTGAAATATTATAAGCTGTGGCGTCTCATGAAGATGCGGAATTTACAAAAATATACAAATATAAATGCACTAAAATACAACCATGATTGATAAAAAGCTGAAGTTGCAAACCCACCTTGTTGAATTCTATTCGCGTTGAAAATGCTAGTACGCAGGTAAGTTAAGTATTTCTTTTTTTCTTTTCTAATTGTTTGTACAAATTTTGATTTTTTACCACCTGAGTAAAACACATCGTTTCTTGGTGCTGGCCGCACAATTGCTCTAGTACTAGAATTTTTAGATATCCTACCCCCAGATTGCTATAAACACGGTTTTTTGCGATATTTGAGGTTATATGATGAAAACATAAATTTTTTTGCCCATTTCTACTTAGAGCATTATTTTCGTTTGTTGCGATTCGATTTTTATTTCTCGAGATATACTAGTTTTAATAGTACTTCGGTATTACGTCGTAAGCATTAGTCATCATAGCATGTGTAGAGGCTATTCAATCGTTATGAGCGAAAACGTTTGGTGTATTGATCTATGGATGTATTCTTGCAAATATTGTTAATTTTTTGCTTTTGTTAAATACAAACTGTTACGAAAAATGTATCCTTTAAATAAAAAAAAAATTTGGTGCTTTTAGTTTGGTAAAACGCTTTTTTCAAAGTTTTTGGTGCTTTCTGAAAATCAAAAGTTGGCAACAATGGTTTTAGGTCCTAAAAATCCGTTCCCTGGTTATTATACATAGTTTGCTTCAAACGAGACTTCATAAGTTAGTTGAACTTTCAGATACTATGATTTAGTATAAGTTGAATGTACTAAATTCTTATAGTACATACATATGTATATATGCATATACATTTTATATATGAAATACTTTTATTGCGCTTTATAATAACTAATTTGTATTTTTTCAGTTCGTTTCAGTCAAGTTTTAGTTCAGTATACAAAAATCCCAAAATGGTCGGTGTAACTGCAGCCGCCAGTGAGCACAGCATGTCGTCGACAAAGAATCCCATGATTAAGTACATGTTGAAAGCTCGTGAGAATCATGCACGTATTCAGGAACACGACTACTCCCATGTATTTCGTCGGAAGACACGATTTGAAATGTTTCGTCTCGCCGTCATTGCAATGGCTATCGAGTTTGCCTATGCTGCCGAAACATCTTTTGTCTCTCCCATACTGTTACAGATTGGCATCGATCACAAACTGATGACTATGGCCTGGGGTGTATCACCCATCATTGGGTTTTTCGTTTCGCCCTTACTGGGTTCTATCAGCGATCGCTGTACTCTTAATTGGGGTAGACGACGACCCATCATTACTATTCTGTCGGTGGGTATCCTTACTGGCTTGATACTGGTGCCCTACGGAAAGGATCTTGGAATATTATTAGGAGACATCGGTTACAATATGACAACAGTCAGTAATTTAACTGTACAAAACGAGGGTTTGGTGGCTGCTTTGATATCGGAAGACGCAGATAACGCTAGTGGACCCCTTCCGTCAAATTTTAAATATGCTGCGATACTGACTATTCTTGGCATGGTCCTGCTGGATCTGAATGCTGATACCTGTCAAACCCCAGCTCGTACGTATATGCTGGACATGTGCGTACCTGAAGATCAAGCACGTGGCCTCACCACCTTTTCCTTGCTGGCAGGTTTCGGTGGTACGATTGGTTATGCTATCGGTGGTATTGATTGGGAGAAAACAAGTTTTGGTTTGTATAGTGACAAGTTTTTAGATTCTTTAAGGTTATTTACAAATACATGTTTTTAATTTTCAGGTGAAGCACTAGGTGGAAACATTCCCACGGTCTTCGGAATGGTCACTATTATATTTATCGTCTGTTACTTTGTCACCATTACCACTTTCCGAGAAATTCCGTTGAAATTAATCGAGCGAGACGAAATGTTAAGACCACTTTCTGCTATGGCTATTAAAAAAGAACTGAGCAAAAAGAACAATGCCGTGTTCTACATTCAAGAGGTAATACTGTCCCACAAAACTATAATGAACTTTATTAGGAACGTATGTTTGTCTTTTTGGTGCAGACCGACGCTATGGAGCTAGAAGCTACAAAAGCAGAGGAAAATTACAATTTGGACCCTCTAACTGAAAGCTATCAAAATGGGTATTCGCCATCTATGGGAAACGCTAATAAAGAGAACCAACCATCTCGGTCTACTTCTGCAAACAATAATAATCTGTTGGCTGTCGAACTGGATAACTTCGTGGACACACCCATCACATTGGCCAAGTACTTAAAGAGTATTTTCGTGATGCCCAAATCAATGCGAATACTTGCATTAACAAACCTACTCTGCTGGATGGGTCACGTGACATATTGTTTGTATTTTACGGACTTCGTAGGAGAAGCGGTATTCCACGGGGATCCGACGGTAGGTTTTACGTTAGAGTGTTAGTAATCAATGTATGTACATATATGGGATTTACCATAGAAATGAAGGCATTACTTTAACATGGGCATGTCATTGTCTGCAACCCCTTGCAAATTACACAACCGATAAGTGGAAAGATAACAACATTCCAAAAGAATTCAAATCATAGTTATGTATATTTCAGAAGTACCATATAGATATCTTAATTTTACATATACTACATATAATATTCTTTCGAAATTCAAAATTCAGTAGATTACTAACTAAAGGCATAAAAGAATTCAAAAACATCTATTTCGTCTAAGATTATCTTCAGTGTTTATGAAAACCCAAGAATTTGAAGAAACTTTTTTTTCTATATCAAATTATTTGCTTTGTGGTAACTTCGAAGAAGCCTTTACATATATATAAGTAGCCGTCCTAACGTTATTTCGGAGGTGTCACCGAACCATCGCACATTGGTTCAAAACTGGAATTTACTGTTCATAATTAACTCAATTTGATTATTTTTATTTTTAAAAGATAACCTATAAAATTTGCAAGAGACCAGTTGAGTTGAATTTTCGTTTTATTGTATTATTTTTTTTATTTATTTTATTTCTTTTTTAAATTGATTCTCCTGTTCAAGTTAATAAACTTTACATAAAAAACTAGTTGAAAATTGAAAGGTCCCCCCAAAACGAAAAAAATCCAAAAATTTTTGAAATGTTATAAACAAAATTGTCACCGAAATTAAATTTTTTAAGTTCTTAAAAAGTTTTTGTTTATGCAGTCTTATATATGGTGACATTTGTTTTTGGGGAGCCCCATAATTGCTTTCAACTAGTTTTTTTTTTTATGTTAAATTCGTTAACAGTGACAGTACATAGAATCGATTTTCTTCAAAATTGCTGCTTTTTCCGCACTTCGCACTAAAAGTTTTAGTATTAAGGTATCAAAATTAAATGATCAGGCTTAACTGGTCTCTTGCTAATTTTATAAGCTTTCATTGAAAAAAAGACATGAATGAAATTGGTGGAAAAATGAAGGCTCCAGTGAATTGTTAGGTACGCTACTCCCGCAGGACCCAAATTTTTCAACATCAACATGCATATTCCGTCGGGTCCAATGCCTTTAGAGGCTTTCGCCTTCTCGATGGCTACCCTTACCGCTGGTGAAAACAAGAGGCGCACTGGGTTTTGGTATTTTGTGCAGCCTTCTGTCACTCGACGTTTGGCTTTATCCACCGGAGGATGCATAATAAACTGCCGGCTAAAATAGCTCGCGCATCGCTCCTGGTCCGACGAAGCGTGGTCATCAAAGTCTATTTCGACTCTGTCGTCACGCTTCGCCGGTTGAACAACGACCTCACGGTTGACCAAAGCTTGCTCACACCAGAGGCGAAGTTGCAGGTCATCAAATGCTCTTCCCATTTCTTCCGCTTATGTACGTTCACAAGTTGCCGAATCTCCGAATTGAGATCCCTGATACGGGGATTTCCGGGATCGGCCTGACGATGGTTGTCGCGCTCATCGGCTAGAACAGCCGCTTCAGCAGGAAAGTTCGGACGTGGATCCTAAATACATCCTGCTGGCATGAAGCGAGCTGCAGCAGCAGAGACAACCCTGCGGAATTTACGCTCACCTACATGAACGTCGGTTGGTATGGGCAGTGTAGTGAAGGTGCCTTCAGTAACATCCTTCAGTAACGTCAGCTTTGGAAAAGTTGACATAGGTCCGGTGATCCACGAAAGCAAAGTCGGCAGGTTTATCAATCGAGATGACTATGGGCATATGGTCTGATGTTAGGGCCATCATAGGTCGCCATGATACGCTGTTTATCAAACCAGCGCTGACAATTGTTAGATCTGGCGAGCTGCAGCAGCTGCCCATAATCCTGGTGGGTGCGTCGTCGTTCATTGTGCAGTATGATGAATCGTCTACCTGCTCAGCCAGATGTATTCCCCTACGATCATTTGACAGGCTTGAGTGCCAAAGATCGTGGTGCACGCTAAAGTCACCAGCTACCATACAGTTTTCACTTCTGAGTAGCGCAACTATTTCAGGGTGATATCTTTCCGGGCAGCTGGTGAGGGGGGGTATGTATACGTTAAATATTTCGAGCTCAACATAGCCTGACCGGATAGCTATACATTCTAGGATGGTATCGCTGCGGTCGATGTCTGCTTCAATAAGACGATACTGCACGGTGTGGTGCATGATGAACGCTAAACCTCCACCATTGTCTCGCTCGCGATCTCGCCGGTGCACTTTGTATCCGGCGCAATTCAAAGGGTTAAATTGCCTTGCAACTTCGTCTCTTGGGCCGCAGCTATTAATATTCCATGCCTTCCCATAAAGAGTTATCTCCTCGATCTTACTTTGGAGTCCGTTACAGTTAAATTGTAGCACCTTTGTTTGCCTTAGGAGACCGATTGTGATGTGTGGTGTTAACGAGTTGTGTTGCCTGCCGGCTTCCTGCTGTACGTGCTGAAAAAGGGGCTGCCTTGTGGTGGTGAGCAGCACAGCAGGGGCCCACATAGTCGTCCGATCTCGCGTGTTGCGAAATCCTGAGCATGCCCTAAACTGGCACCAGCCGAGGCAGGAGTTGCACTTGACTGATGTCACGTTACGGTATATTCTGGACTGACAAACAGAGAAGATTGTCGGAGGGACTAGGAGTTGCCGGCGGCGGTGTGTGGGTGCTATTGTGTTTGTTTGTGTGTCTATTGTTGTGTTGTGTTGGGGTGTCGGCGTGTTGGTTGTGTGGTGCCCGGGCGGGTGGAGGTTTGCGGTGGAGGCGGTCCGGTTCGCACAGCTTGGGCCCACGAACGACGTGGTCCATTGCCGGTGCGTACGTAGGCCCGAACAGTTTCGGAGGTGACTCCACCCGTTACAGGCATTGCACCTGACCGAGGTGGAGTTTGTATGCAGTCGTCTCTGGTATACGCAGCAGGTGTAAATTTCTGGCCCTGGGTTAGACTCTATACCAGCCCTGAGCAGAAGGGTACGGAGCAGATTTAGCCCTAGAATCGAGCAACGTTTGATGGATTTCGCCGACCTAAACGGGGTTAGATCGCCGAAACAGCAGCCCTTGGTCGGGTAAAACCCGTCCCATTCCGGTACGTAGAACCGGCTGTCGTGGGAATGTCGTTTTTTTTTTTAATTTTAATCAGTGAAAATTTATATGCGCATATCTTTATTAAAAATCGCTTTTTCCAAAAAGAAAAATACGTATCCTCTCATTTTCCTTGTAGAATAACATTTTTCATCGGCAAGCAAATCTACGATGTGAAGTTGTCAACCTGCCTGATTTGAGATAGATTTGATCTATTATTCTTATTTGCTATGGCTTCAAATCTCTATTTAACTGCTTGACATATATTTGTGTACATAGAAAAATGTATGAAGAAACTCTCATAGAAGGGTGTTTCAGTCTTAGATTTTATCTAAGCTTCTTCGAATATTTCGTAAGCATGAGTCATCATAGCTAATACCGAAATACTCCACGTTAAAACTGTTATATCTCTAGAAAGACAAATCGAATCGCAGCAGACGAAAATGAATTTTAAAAGGAAAAAGTAGTACTAAATGATGCCTCAAGTGGAAATGAGCAAAACATTTGTTGTTTTCATAATATAACCTCAAATATCTCAGAAATGTGCTAGAGCAATTCGCCGGTCAGATTTGGATTCATCAACAAACCATGCATTTTATTCAGACGGACGAACTGTGTAATTAGCTACTCCTTTAAATGTGATTGCAGGCTTCCTGCTTAAACTGATTGAATCACACTATTATATTATTATTTCAGACACTTTGATTTAATTATTCACTGACTATTTTTCGATACACAGCTATCTTCATTAAAAAAATTCTCCAACACAGTCGGTTTTTTGGACTAGTTTTGTTAGGACACGTGCACACAGAAACTCGAGCGGCGCACTGTGGTATAGCCCCATACATGAGTTATCGGACTTAAAAAAAAATTGTGTGTGGTAGAATCTGGAAAAATGTGGTAGATTTCAAAAAAATGTGGTAGATCTCAGGTTTTTGGATCAAACTTTTTACAAAAATTAAACAAATTCTGTAAGGTTTCACCTAAATTGCAAACTTTTTAATTGCTCTAAAAAATTTTATTGTAGTATAATAAAGTGCAAGATTGAAGTTGCTAAAAATTGCATTGAGTTTTGACAATTTTTTCCTTGACAGTGTAAAGCGGTTCCTTCCATATCAAAATATTTTTCGAACATAAATTTTTTTGCAACCTTGCGGAGTGCTGTCAGCGTTTCATTCTATCACATCACGATGTAGCGAACAAATGTGGCACTTTACAGAAACCGCTACTTGTGATTTGCAGATTTTGACAATTCTCAAGTAAATGTAAACAATGCCTCAGAAACTTTTGATGCACTGCAATTTGCTAATACTTTCACAAAAATCGCCGTTTTTTTAAATTTTTATAAATCATATATTTTAAAATTTAACGTAATGAAACCATTTTCACTGTCAAAAAATTTATTATTGAGAAAATTTACTATTTTATACTTTATTTTATCCTCCCATTCGGCTTTGTTTGCTTTTAATTGAGAAATTTCATCGCCGCCGGGAATGCGGAATCTTGTATTATATCATTCTTATTACCATATAGTGTTTAATGTTGGACAATTTTAGCTCTTAAAATTAAGAAAATTATGTCGAGCAAAAATAAAACTAGGTACTCAAAAAAAAAAAGTAGATGCTCAAAAAAGTGGCAGATCTACCACAATGTGGTAGAAGTCCGATCACTGCCATACATTTTTGGAAAAGATTAGAAGGAGCCGGCGTAGAACCTAAATGTTCAGCATGAAACATTTGTGGACATAAAAAAACGACAAATTGGCGTGATCGATTTATTTCAAAGCATATCTCCCATATAAACCGAACCTCAAAAACGTCTTCAATAAGCCATAAAGAGTGCGTACGTACGAAATGTATAGAATAAATGGTGCGGCATCAGTAGCCACAGTTTACAGACGACAC